AGTTGTCTGCTTCCATAGCAACAGAACAAAGCCCAATGGCAACAAAAGCTTAGCCTTTCCCTTCAGGATCCACCTGTTTTATTCGTTGGTTTGGGGAGCATTTGAGGAACTTCCTGCCAATTATGAATGTACAGGCAATCACAATAGAAAGCTGCCTTGCCTGGGAGTCAGATGCTTGCAAAAGAACACCACAACTTTGCTCTTTCATGGGGTTAGCTCATCAGAGGTTACAGTACATTATGAAACCAACAACTTTATTCACGTGACTTGATCCTCCTCAACTCCAGTTATTTTGTATTTGTCAGGTACTGAAGGCTATATGTTAGAGGAAGAAACTGGCAAAACCACCTCTGAGTATTCCTTGTGTAAGAAAATCCTAGCTGACATTGGAGAGATCTGACATATCGTTGCCACTCTGAGAATTGGTGCCCTTTTGCACCACACAGTTATAGCACCTCACCTGAATTGCCATGGCTGCATCTTGTGAAAATCTGGACTTTGGTGTTCAGTCAAGTAGTAGACCTCTCTTACTGGTTTCTAAATACTCTTCACTATATAACAAACTTCAGAACCCTGTATCAGTGAAAGAAGAATCATAGTGCTATAACTGCGTATTGTAAAAAGGCCCAAGGAACAAAGGCATAAAAACAACTTGCTTTCCAAAGCTGTGTATCAGAAGCTGCTATATTCTGTGGTCTCTTGATCCTTGATTGTGATGACTCTGTCTGATAGGAGTTGCAACCCAACATTTGGACATTCAGCCACACCCGTAGGAATTCACATATAGATCGACATCTCAACAAACAGATATAGATTTATATTTTTTTCTTCCATTTTAATTCCCCTTTCCTTCTTCCAGACACCTCAGTATAATCTTCCTGTTTCTTTCATGAACTCTGCATTTTATTGGGAAAGCAGGTTAGTAGGTTAAGCTAAAAGAGTATGACTGACTCAAAATTGCAAGTAGGTTTCACAGCCGAGGAAGCATGGATGTGAAACCCGGTCTCCCCAATCCTCCTCTGGCATGCCAACCACTGTGCCACCATGGGATTTCCAGACTTACATACATACAGGCTGTTGAAACATTTATTGTTTTTGTCAGCTGCTAAGATGAGTCACAACTATAATTGATATTCCATTAATATAGTTCAAAGCTTTTGATGAAGAAGGGGGAGGGCGGGGGAAGGATTAGATCTGCTACATGCTATTAAAAAAAACCAAATGTAAAACTGAGTAAGCTTAAATAACAGCCTGTGAAAATGAGCTAATGAATGCAGAAATCTTGCTGAGAGACTGCACAACCAACTGGAACAGTAAAAAAAAAAATGAGATAAACTTTGAGAGCAAACCTAAGCCCATGGCAGAGGGCTTGTCATCGGAGAAAATAATCCAGACCAGAGTATTTTCCCCCGGAGGAGCCGTATTTGAGACACAGTTTAAATACAGTTATTTAAATTCATCTAGCTGTCTACACAGTTCTCCTACCAAAATCTGAATTGACTCTGTTTGGTTGTCCTCTTCTCCTGATGCCTTCCTAGAAAAGTCTCTTTCTGGAGGCTCATTGGCTCTGGCATTCCTCACTCTGGCACCAGAATAAGGCACCATATATACGGGAATCAGTGATGACCGGGGCGGGATCCTAGAGCTGCTGCCTTCTTAGTAAATCAGTATAGCTGAGGGTGTTCCCAAGGAGGAACCAACAGTTTATTTCACTTTTTAGCATGCAACATTGTAGACGATGGAGTCAGTTGCCACAATTCATTTATTTATTTATTTATTTGGGGTTCTTTTACCCCGCCCTTCTCACCCTGAAGGGGACCCAGGGCGGCTTACACAGTAAGGCACGATTTGATGCCGGCAACACAACAATCATCACAACTTACAGTAAAATTCACAAAGCAATCCATTTTAGTCCTTGCTCCCATCAAATCCATTCCTATTTAAGATGTCCACGTGTCAAAAAACCTGAGTTTTCTTGGAAAATGCAGAGCAACCCATGGGTATTTTTAATGTAGATTAAAACCTAAAGAAGCAGTCTAATGTCTTGCCCGCTGCTTCCCTGCTCTCCATTGATCAGGAAATTGCTGGATTTGGGTGACTGCAGATGGTTTTTTTTTTTCATGTCAGGAGTGACTTGAGACACACTGCAAGTCACTTGTGTTGCGAGAGAATTGGCTGTCTGCAAGGACGTTGCCCGGGGGACACCTGGATGTTTTGATGTTTTTTACCATCCTTGTGGGAGGCTTCTCTCATGTCCCCGCATGGGGAGCTGGAGCTGACAGAGGGAGCTCAGCCACACTCTCCCTGGATTCAAATCTCTGAGCTGTTGATTTTCAGCCCTGCTGGCACAAGGGTTTAACTCATTCTGCCACCGGGGACTCTGGTGCAGCTGGGTGGGTAGGTTGAATGGGATACTATTGTAGTTACTTCTTCCAGGAATGCGTCTCAATGCAGAACCTTGACTGGCATTTTGAATGTTGTGTGAGCCCCATCACAAAACAAAACTCCTGGCTTCTACCTGGCTGACAACTCCATTTTTAAAAAAAAGCATATCCCTGGACTCATCCCATAGGGTGCCAGGAAGCATTCCCAAGAAACAAAAATGATGGGGATCTGGATGTGCCCAGTTTTGCCTGTTTCCACCCAGTAAAAGAAACAAAGTGGTGCAGTGAGACACAAAGGCCTGGAAGGACTGCATTGGAGGAAATAAAGGTAGCTCAGACTGGGTCTAGGCATGCAAAAGGGGCAAATGTTCCAAGCTAGATCATTATGGGCAACTGCTAATGGTGCTCATGGTGCCATCTCTGCATTCAGTTGAAAACAATCATATATTTCACTCCATTTAAACATTGATTGTAGCAGGAAGGGATTATTCTGATCTGTTCTTTGGCAAAACAAAAAATGCAAACTTTGCTAAAGTTGGGAAAAAAGTTTCTACCTGAAATGAAAAGACTCTTTACAAAGAAAACCGAGAACTACAGGTAGAAGGACCTTCAACAACAAAATTAGCCCATTTAGATCAATCGTTAAGGAGGTCAATATTTCAACTTTGATCCAGGAAGTACTGTGAAGATTTCAAGGTGGGTGAATTTTTAAAAGTGAAGAAACTATGGCTCTGTGGAGTTCAGATAATTTACTTATAGTGCCTGGAAATGTCACAAGTCATGCCTGTAATAGGGGCTCAGTTGTAGAAGGACAAGGTCCAATGCTTGTTATCTTGTTTGAACAAACTTCAGGAGTGCAAGGAGAAAGAACAAACAGCTGAAGGTTTGGGTGTAAAAGCAGGATTTATTTTCTTCTTCTTTGTTTAAAAAAAGCAACACTTTGATGTGGGGGACTGTGAAGCCAGGTTCTATGGGAATTTGAATACACTGCTTGACAATTTGCTCTGAATAGTCCCAACCCGGATATTTTGGAGTGCAGCACAAAGTGAGCTTATTGCTGATGCTTTTGGGATGCTGCCAAGGCATTCTCGCCAGTAAAACAAGATGCAGAGCTCAGACCCCTCAATTAACTTGTAATTGGTAGACTTTTCTTTCGTTCAACAGAAGAATTATAATGAGAATTCCTATTAGTGTTTGGTGGATTGTTTTAGCAGTGATGTTAAATGATAGTGTTATGTAAGCCTCTATGGTGTATTGTTGAGTTGTACTTCTTTCACGGTAACAGGCAGTGCCTGCCTTCCCTTGTGATTTGACAGAGACTCCAAGAACATTCATTCTGTGCCTGAGTTGTACCTCACTTGTTCTATCTGAGGAGCATCGCTCAAAGAGAGATCGAGAAGGCTACATTAAAAGACATATCCATGTTAGTATTCATCAGTATGTGAAAGGACTTTGTAGCACCTTTGAGACTAAGGGCCCTTCCACACAGGCAGAAAATCCCACAATATCTGCTTTGAACTGGGTTATCTGAGTTCACACTGCCATATATTCCAGTTCAACACAGAAGATGTGGGATTTTATTCAACTGTGTGGAAGGGGCCCAAGAGGGAGAAAGAAGTTGGTAGCATGAGCTTTCATAGATTACACTGCTATATTATATGTTCAGTGTAGACCTATATAGTGCAGTTTGGACTACATTATATGGCAGTGTAGATCCAGCCCATGTCTACAAAAGCTTACGATACCAACTTCTTTCTCTCAGTCTCAAAGGTGCTACAAGATCCCTTTGCACAGTGAAATATTGTTCACTTCCTTGTATTGTCCATGAACATATACCTAGTAATTTTGTTAGAAAAGCCTTGTTATTGTTTAAAAAGCAAAAATCTGGTGCAAGGCCTGATACTTTTTCACAGTAGCCCCTGTTCAGCAAAACTATGCAGCAAAACCATGTGCTTGGGGAGCTCTGGCCATTGCAGCTGGTAGAAGGGAATGCCAACCTCTGCAACAATTTTTAAAATGGCATATCCAGGCGTGCGGTGGACTGAGCTTGTGTATGACAGGATGCCAGTGCTCAAATTGTTAATTTAACAGTTCCCTGCTCTCTTACAATCTAAATAACACATGAGGAAAAGTGAATAGTAGCGTGGGAGGGGATTAAATTCAGCAGATTTCATTTTATTTTCCAAGGCTTTGGGGATTTTAGCTTGTTCTTTAATCTTGTATATTTTAAATGTTCTTTAATCTTGTATATTTTAATTACATGTATTGTCAGTTGCTTTGTATTGTGCTGCATTTTTTACTTACATTTTATCTTGATTATTTATTATTTTATTTCGTATATTTCTATCCCGCCCTTCTCCCCACAAGGGGAACTCTTGATGATACTTCACAATTGCATTGTATCATTTTGTAATTTGTCAGTATGTGTACACACACATATTTTAGATTCTATGCCTCTGGAAAGACGAATTATTTTTGCTACGTTAATTGTAAAAGTGCCAGGTGGTAGAAAATACCATTTCCAAGTGTTTATAGGTCTGCTATGATATGCCAGTGATATGAAGGTGTTGCTCTCCATTTTCTGTTCTTCTTATTGATGTCTGTCTTGCTCTGCAGGAGGGATTGGCTGTGTTGATCGAGACAGAGGACAGTCACGTCAATGTCTTGATGCGGTAGAGATCTATAACCCTGATAGAAATTTTTGGAGAGATGGGCCTCCCATGCCATCTCCGCTTCTATCTTTGAGAACAAATTCTACCTGTGCTGGTGCAGTGGAAGGAAAGCTCTATATCTGTGGAGGATTTCGTGGAGCAGGTACTGGATGAAGCCAAAGAGAATGTGACTATGTTTGTAATGACCTTTATTTAGCAGACATTCAGTTTAAGAATTGAATCTCTAAAGTATAAGAACTGAAATACTACATTTCTTCCAGAGAGCTACAAGTTGTATCCTTACAAGCTTGAGTATTATTTTTGTACTTGTACAAAAAGAGAAAGCTGAAATCCTTAATCCTAAGTGCTTTACTTGAATTCGGAAATAATTTCCATTCATTTCAATGTAACTTCTTTCCATCGAGTGCACTTAGGATGGGATCCGAGCCTTACTCTTGATCTGCACTCATCTGTACAAATCTGAGCAGAGAATTAGAAGCCTTGCAAAAAGTGGCCACCTCGCAGAGAGTTTGAGAAGGTTTCCAGTGGAAGTTGACACTGCATAAGTGGAGAACAGTCAGAATACTGCAGCAGACAGTGGTTGCGTGGGCTCATTTAAGGTGGCTTTTCTTTGTCACGAGATAAGATTCCAACAGAGCCACGTGTTTAAAAGAACCCAAATGTGCAAATATTTAGAAAGTGGTAGAGCAAGCAATTGGAGGAGCCTAGAAGCGTTTCTGGGGTAACATGTGAGGAATTCTTGATGGAAGTGAGCCCTATTGGGACTAAACTACTTGAGAGTTAAAATTTGTATAGCAATAACCAATGGACCAAGAAGGGAGGGAAATTAAAATGGCACTATCTTTTGAACCAAGGAGGTTGAAGGAAGACAGCAGGTAACAGATGAGAAGGGATGTTATGTAGATGTTGGGATTTAACTAAATGCAGCATTCCCTATGGCTGTCTCTAAAATTAGAATACAAACTAATGAATTTAAATGACAAGAAAAGATATTTAGTCCTGAGCATTTTGTCAGTAGATGAAGGAGAGGTTGGATGGTCACCTCTTGGGGGTGAGCTAGATATGGATTCTTGCTTGAGTCGGGGTTCTAAAGTGCTATCAAGAAAGAGGCAAAAAGGCAAGGAAGACTAGAGATTGCAGRRGTACCATGACTGAGAGCAGATGTGGTCTGGRGATGAGAACAWTGACTTTCACATATTGATTTGAATTATCCAGTCCGTTCTTTGTCTCCAGCTTCTGCTCATATTTTAGTGTGATTCAGATTTGAAAAACAAAAAAGTCAAAAACAAGTAAGCCAAGGAGTACTGATGGCATGCATCAGTAAATGAAGCAATTAGATGGAGGATGACTAATGACAGAYTTATCACACGGTTCCTTCTTAAGGGCTTCTATATGTCAGAACTGCCATGAAAACACATTGACAAAAACACTGTCACCGCTTTGTTATCAAGAACTGGGTGGCTCAATCTTTTTCAGATTTTAGAAGCAGATGTCAGACTAAACTACTTGAGAGTTAAAGTGTGAGCATTGAGAGGGTTCTGATCCCATCATGCTGTTTACATGAGGCTAACCTCAAAACAATTATCCTTTCTAACCTGATCCTAAGCAAGGTTTGCTGTGGCATGTAATTAAAAAAAAGGGGCTGCTGCTGATTTGGAGTTTGACAACAAAGCAGCAAATCTCTAGATATTTACTTTATAGGTGTTATATTTACTGCCAAGATGAAGGGACTTAAATTATTATCTTCCTTGGGTAGTACAACCATTTGTATGAATTTACATACCTATGCGTTCCAGCATAAACCTGTACGGCCATTTCCTTCAGTACATTATAACCCCATATCTGTGGGGGACATGTTCCAAGACCACCACCATCACCGCTGTGGATATATGAAAACTTGGATAATGAGGAACCCTATTTTTAATGGTTCTGAGGCCATAGGATACCATGAAATTGTACTGGAGGGCCTAGAGAGGCTCACAAACACTTCCCGGGAGGGGGAATATTTTTTGGAGCATAGATAAATAAAACCATGAATATCATACTATACTTAAGACAAAAAACTACCTTGGACCTCTTTCATACTAAAAGATTATTCATTATTAATTATTACACAATTATCTTTCATTCTACATAATTATTCAATCTCATTTTCATTGCCATGGCTGCATCCTAGGGAATCCTGGGAGCTGTATTTTTATTAGGTTTTTTGAATCCATTGCCAGAGAGTTCCAAGGTCTCCCTAATGAGCTGGAATCATGACAGTAAGAAGCATCAGAGTGCTGCAGTTGTGAAGTATGAGAGAGTCTGTAGTTGGCATGAACTTGCCCCTGACTAGGGTTGACACCTGAATGCTGAAGAAGCTGAGACTGGGGGGGGGGGGCATATAGAAAAGGGGCCTTTAATAATTGTGGAGAAGAGGGAGCTTAAGCAGGTGTAACTTGGATGAAAATTGTTGCTGCAATTTCTGTCATTAAATGTGGAAGATCTCTGCTGTCTTTTTGATAAGACTACAGTGTCAGATTTCCATCTTTCCTTTAATGTGGGAAGCAATTTAACTAAATGCACCATTAATACACAGACCAGTTAGATATGATCTCACTAACATTCCTAGCGAATATACAGTGGAAGTGAAGAACAGATNTCTGTGTAGTCTGACATGGTGGTTGTGAGAGTGGTCCAGCATTTCTGTGTTCTCAAATAAAATACTGTGTCCGGGTTGGTTCATCAGGTGCTCTGCTATGGCTGAAGTAGTCTGTAGTGCCTTTCATGTTCCTTGATTCGTGTCTGGGCAATGCTGCTGCGTTTGGTGGTCCCTATGTAGACTTGTCCACAGCTGCATGGTACACGGTAGACTCCTGCAGAGGTGAGAGGATCCCTCTTGTCCCTTGCTGAACGTAGCATTTGTTGGATTTTCTTGGTGGGTCTGTAGATAGTTTGTATGTTGTGTTTCCTCATCAGCTTCCCTATGTGGTCAGTGGTTCTCTTGATGTATGGCAGGAACACTTTTCCTCTGGGTGGATCTTCATCTTTATTCTCGTGGCTTGTTTTGGAACCTTTGTCCTAGTTCCAACAGACCTCACTACCTCTGAGGATGCCTGCCATAGATGCAGGTGAAACGTCAGGAGAGAATGCCTCTAGACCATGGCCATATAGCCCGAAAAAAACCTACAACAACTCACTTATTGTTGTTGTTTGTTAGTTCAGTTGCTTCCGACTCTTCGTGACCTCATGGAACAGCCCATGTCAGAGCTCCCTTTCGGCCGTCACCACCCCAGGCTCCTTCAGAGTCAAGCCAGTCACTTCAAGAATACCATCCATCCATCTTGCCCTTGGTCGGCCCCTCTTTCTTTTGCCTTCCATTTTCCCCAGCATCATTGTCTTCTCCAAGCTTATAAATAGGGCTTATTATGTTCTCATTTTTGGAAGGAATTTTGCCTAAGTCCATATGAATTAAACAGGGACATTAAAGCATCCAAATAGACATTTACTATGCCTCATTAATGCAGGTCCCAGCATAGCCTGTATTGGGATTTGCTACATAGGACTACATAGGAGAAAGGCAGGGAGTTTCAGAAAAACATCTACTTCTGCTTCATTGACTATTCTAAAGCCTTTGACTGTGTGGATCATAATAAACTGTGGCAAGTTCTTGGTGGGATGGGCATCCCAAGCCACCTTGTCTCTCTCCTGAGGAATCTGTACAAGGACCAAGTCGCAACAGTCAGAACTGACCACGGAACAACAGACTGGTTCAAGATTGGGAAAGGCGTACGGCAAGGCTGCATACTCTCACCCAACCTTTTTAACTTGTATGCAGAACACATCATGCGATGTGCGGGGCTGGATGAATGCAAAGCTGGGGTGAAAATTGCTGGAAGAAACATTAACAACCTCAGATATGCAGATGACACCACTCTGATGGCCGAAAGCAAGGAGGAGCTGAAGAGCCTTCTAATCAAGGTGAAAGAAGAAAGCGCAAAATGCAGGTTGCAGCTAAACATCAAAAAAACCAAGATTATGGCAACAAGAATGATTGACAACTGGAAAATAGAGGG